CCCCTGGTCAGTTTCAGTGGCAGCAGCTGAATCTGGAGCCAGTTCCGACTTACATACAAATTCAACTTAAGAACAAACCTATAGTCCCTATCTTGTACGTAATCCAGGGACTGCCTGTAGCAATATGCTATTTTGAAATGCATTTTGTGTCTAGATGCATTATTTTGAAATAAGCTATAGTGTAGACATACCCTGAGAGTTTGAGCTGTTTAGAAGAGTTTGCTTCACTGGATAGTTATTTTAGATTTTTTATTTAATATGGCTGCATTGATAAATAGCTAATTTTCTCCTGATCTTTTCAATACAATTAGTATTGTTACTCAGCTTCTGAAATGTTTTTATTTAGTTTTTGCAGTTATTCCATTGTGTTTTTTTGTTAACTGTTGTAAGCCAGGCTTCACGCTTCAGGTCTTTAGATAATATCATCTTATTGAGAATTTTGCAGAAGGATTTTCTTGTTTTCTCGGTGGCTCGGCTAAAACCAGTGAGTGGAAAATTCTCTCAGATTGGTTTTTGAAGATACTAAATAAATCCTGTATCAACCTAACAGACAGCTGATTTTTTCTTTGTTTCTCTCTTATTTTTTGAACATGAAGTGAGGGTCATATTGATTGGAAGATCACTAAAGAAGGGTAAGCCTCAGCAAGAGGCTTCCAAAAAATGGACTGAGATAAAATTGCATGTAATACTCTAGCATTTGACATATTAAACTAAACCGAGTTCATAACACATTTTAAGAATAGCTTTCTGTGTTGCTCATTTGACCAGTCCTTGCTCCTCCAGGAAGCAGACAAGGTTATAGAGGATGGTGATCATGACTGGAAAAGAATCAGGTGACCCATGAAACTCCAGCTTGGTGAACAAAATATATCAGTAGAGCGGCTGGTTCTACAGTAAATCTTTATATTTTAAAAAAATCCCTTTAAAAAGCCACTGTACACATCTTATACTTGATGAATTACAGATGTCTTCTTAAAAGGTTAGGTTTCTTTTCAGATCTTTGCTCAGGTGTCAGTGTCCCACTGTTAATTGGAGGAGGGGATCCTACATTCAAAGTGGTCACATATGAAGCGTGAATGGCTGACACTTGTGATTAATTCTAGCCACTCTGTCTCAAACAAGATAAAGCAGTAATAGAAGGTACCCAAAGGTGGGAAACCATTATTAGTAGAGACATGAAAAGATTTCCAAATGAGAGGACATTGAAAAGATTAAGTCTCTTTAATTAAAACATGAGATGAAGAGGGGACGTGATAGAGATATATATAAAACAATGCAAGTAAGAAGAAGATGCATTAGGCCTACCTATTAATTGTTTAATAAAACAGCAAGAAAACATCAGCGTTTGAAAGGCAACATAGAATACCTTATGTCAGGATTACAATGTCTAAGAACTAAGTAGGTTTAAAAAAGGATTAGATAGTTGTATGAATAATTAGCAGGAATATAATCACTCTTCAAAACATAAACCAACCACTAGTGCCTAGGATTAGAAAGAAACTTCCTCAATAGGCAGGTTACTCCCTATTTTCTCCATTATGACGTTCTGAAACCTCTGATAATAGCCTGCACCAGATACAGAACACAAGCCTAGCTAGTGAATTTTCCTGTGAAATTGGCAGGTGAATCTGTAGTCTGTACTCAGTCTATTTGTTTTAATTAATATAGTGCATATTGAAGCTCTCACAGAGGAGTATCAGAATAATAGTTACAGTGCACACAGCACCAATGCTATATTCCAGTGGTCCCCAACGTTTTGGGGTTGCCAGGCGCCTGGGGGCGGGGCCGCTCACACTCCGAGCATACGGGGGCGGGGCCGCTCACGGGCCATGTGCCTGGGGGCGGGGCCAAGTATGCACCACATACCCGGGGCTGGCACTGGCATGTGCCGTGACCCCGGGGTAGGGGCCGCCCATGCGTCTGGGGCTGGCACCTGCCGCACGCCCAGGGGCGGGGCCAGCCTGACCCCGGGGCTGGGGCCACCCACGCGCCCGGGGCTGGCACCTGCCGCACGCCCGGGGGCAGGGCCAGCCCAGATTGCTCCACGGGCACCGCGTTGGGAACCACTGCTATATTCCCTAATTGCTAAAGGAGGAAGCAGAGTGGGACTAGGGCTCTTGATAGCAGGAAGCCTTGGTTCAGTTAAAATAAGTTCTTGTTCAGACTCCAGCCTTTGTCTGTCCTCTTGTGGAACAGCTGTTTGTGCTGCAACTGGCAACTACTGAGAGGGAGAAAAGATCAGTACTCAATCAGAACCATGGTATAGTACTCCGCCCTGTGGCACATGTCTCTTAAGTGAGGTAAAGAAGGAACTCACCCTCTCTGAAAAGGTGGTTTTGGCACTAGTTTGGGTTTTGCAGCATTGGGAATATCTGTTGTCCACTCCCCAATAAAAGCATAGAATACTAAAACTGGAAAGGACCTCAAGAGATCCCTCCCTATGCAATTTATTCCAGTGCTTAACTACCATGACAGTTAGGAAGTTTTTCCTAATGTCCAACCAAAACGCCCATGTGTCCTCTTCCAGCAAGCCCTAAGCAAATAGCCAAGCCTCAAGTGGGTGCTCAAAGCATTGTTAAAAATGCAAAGGCCTATTTTATGCCCAAATACATCTAAATAAAAATATGTTTACTTAAATATCTAGTGGTAATTCCCACTATATACAGAGGGGAAGTTTGTATTGTTTTCTGTTTTAAATTATTAACCATGGAAGTTCTAAAAAATTTAGAAATAATAGTTTCCTGTATTCGACTTTTGTCTGTTTAGTTTGTAGATCTGTTCCTTTGGTAGTGTCAGTTTGAAACCTATTGGGTTCAAGGTGAGGGAGAGCATCCAACAAATAACAATAACCCAACACTGCAGAAAAATAAATATAACCCCACTTCAGTAAAATTAAAAGGTCTGAACTTAAAATAAATCTTAGCATGGAATGAATGAGAACTGGCAATGTTGTATTGCAAATGTTATATGCTGATGACTACAGAATCTCTACCAGTTCAGTGGCAATAGCATCATCCTCTGTATATGGAAAGGCCTTTTTCTTTATTTTTTTGCCTTAAAATGATTAATATGCAGTTCAATATAGCATTTTCAAAACCCCTGTAATATAAAAGGCATAAAAGTATGGATTTTAAAGCCCGTTGTAATCAATTTAGTCAGGACATATATACTTCACATCAATATAAAAATTGGTAATTAATCTAACCCAAACCCTAAAAAATTATAAATACTGCTTCAGCAAACATTTTGGTCCTAAAACCCTTCTGCAAAATAGTTTGTCAAACCATTGTATAAGGGGATTATTCCTCTTGTAAATTATAGGAAGGATAGAAGTCTCCACCCAAGCTACAATTTCCTCGAATCAACGCCAGTATTCCCTTCTACTCTCCCAACATGGCTCAAAGGGTGTGTCTAGACTACATGCCTCCTTCGACGGAGGCATGTAGATTAGCCAGATCGGAAAAGGGAAATGAAGCCGCGATTAAAATAATCGCGGCTTCATTTAAATTTAAATGGCTGGGGCCCGCCCC